AAATCTGGTTGCAGCGGGTATTTAACACAAATAACAAGTGTAAGACGGGTAGTGTGTTTAGTCTCTCTGCGGGAAATGTAAATATTGTGGAAAGTATTGTAAACTAAGTACTGCTCGAACTCTGTGTGACTCTAAGTAATGCTTATTTATTGCTCTACACGAGATAAAGAAATACACCAGTTCTATTTCAAGTAATTTGATTTATTGGAAGATTTATGTGAACATAAGCCCTGATTAAACAGAATCTGTTAGATTTTCAATAAACACGCTGAAAGATAATATTTTTAGCTTTATTTTACAATTCTATTCTGGGCACTTGTTAAGCATTACCAAGCTGTGTTAGATTTTTTCTAAGTTTCTAAACGGAGTTGTAATTATAATTTACTTAGAGCGGGTGCACACCTATGACTAAATTATTGCAAAAAAAGTTGTGCGATTGTCGATTGTTTAGCACCCAATGTGACTGTTAGAAATCAAAGCGAGTTGATACAATAAACAGTTGTGCGGTAGTTTAGTCAACCAAAAACACGTGGAAGAAAAATATTTAATTCCTAAGACTGTTTATTTTTGCAGTAAATACAGGGTAATTTATAAATGAAGCGTTGCAATTACCTTTATATGCTAACCATGTCTACGTGAGGACGTTAGCCTTTGCACTGTGTTAACACGGAACAAACTGCAAACTAATTGTTAGTAATATCATGTTATATGCAAAAGTTTGTCTAACTAATGAGTCAGGATCTGATTTCAAGTTTTAAAAAATATTGTTTTTACCAAATGCTTTGTTTCAATAAAGTTTGTTATCATGAGTTTTCACTGCCGAGATATTATTTACATAGTCATATTCTTTCTCTTTTTTTAAAAAAAAAGCAATAAAAAGGATGGATATATGTAATCATGCTGGTTGAATAAATGAAACTTACAGTTATATGAGATCGAAACCAGAACCATTGATCGTGTTTTGTTTGAATAAAAATCTAATTTTATTTCTATCCATTCATTCACAAAAGTAACGGCAAATGAACTTTGTATGCATAATGAGCGTCTTTTTATTTTACTTTTGGACAATGTTCGGAATATTCATGAGATTAGTAATCACCATGTTTGCCTATTCTAATACTGGTTTTACAGATTATGGTGGTACGCCGTTTGTTATACTGAAAAATAAATTAAAAACCATCTATTAGGTTTTTACTCTGTGACGTGCGCATAACTCACACCTGTTTCATTGACGCGGTTAGATAAACATGCCGTTAACTTTATTACTAATCTAGTTGTCGTTAACATGAATTAAGATTTACGAGCTTACGCGATAATGGATAGGTTGGCCGCCCCGGCTCCGCACAGTCTGGCACGGTGGCCTTGAAGCGCCTTGAATTTACCTTACATCGTTGTCTATCATAATTATATACACGCTTTGTCTACGGTTTTGTTACGGTTTAACTTTTTTTTAATCTTCAAAGAATATTTATAATGTTTTGTATCAATTACTAGTCCCTTATTGTATTACTAATCTTTATAAAATGAGTTATAAAGCCGTATGTTTTATAAAATATACAAGTAACGTTTCAATAACATCATTGTTCTATTCTCATCTAAATCCAGTGATGGCATCACACATCAGAGCGGACCGACATGCCTGACAATTATGTTGTTTTTTATTTTCCTTTTTTATTATCTGTGGCCGAGAGCGGCCAGACTCCGCCATGTCTAGTCTGTGACAGAGATCGAAACCTTGAACTTGGTCGGTCGTCGCACCCAACGCGACATTGTGCCAAAATGCATAAATATTAAGCGTGTAAATGATATTTTTTACAATGTTTTAAATCAATTTTAAAGCTACAGTTTAATAGCTTTCATGGTCACGGCTGATATTTTTGGAAAATTACATTTTTTGCTGTTAGTTTTATTTTATTGGTCAGCGCTTCTCGTGATTTCTAGTTTTTGCAAACAGTCTATGTCAATTTTATTTTCTGTTTAAAGGACGAGAAAACCTAATTTAAAGATTACTGGAAAACAAAAACATTTGACTTTGACGTCACGTTAATCGATAATCGATACATAGACAACAAGGTCGTTTTTGTTGACGTCATAGACTTTTAGCGACCAGATATTAATTGTAAATGGCAAATGTTTACCATTAGGATAAACATATTATCGATTGCTTCCAAACATGACAAAACTAAGCATAATTGCTTGTCGCATGATTTGTTACATAATTCTTTGGGGTTTTTAACAATTATTCTAAGGATCTATCTTATTAAGTATTAAGACTGTACAGTTATGTCCATAAACAAAACGATATATTTATTAGAAGTCTGTTACTGTAAAACAAATCCGCTCGTTTGATGCGGTGATATGTCCTAAGCACTATGGGATACGACAACACCGTACAAGGCACGGTTTGAGATCGATCGACATTCAACATATGTTCCGAGTACTTGAATATTCAATTTGGGAATACGACATTGGGAAGGCGCCGGCTTGGGTTCATATGAAATTGCTGTTCGAGATTTAATATGCTACTTTATGAAGGAATTATTTTATTTTGCAGAAATTATAAAGCATTTATGAGAAAATCATTGCCGATTTAAAATCAAAATTACTATTTGAAACTACAATATTTTTATCAATACAATAATCAAAATTTTTATCAAAACCAATAGATTCACCATTATTTGTAGAGGTTCACAGGACAAAAAGTAGCTACAAAAAACAACAATAATAAAATCCATTTCCGCAACATTAAAATCTGAAAAACAATTCTACTTTGGAAAAGAAAAGGGGTTACGTAAGACTTTATTTACCAACAAAAGAATAGGATTTCTTAACTTCATTTCGTAATTCTATTTGCATTTCATTGCTGACTTTAGTCTGTAACCGGATTCTTCCGTTCTGTGATAATCTCAAAATGAGGGTCACCGTATTGTCGCACCACTCTATCTGATTTGGACAACAGTCCAACAATATAACAATGCTTAGTACAGAGACAAGGCCAGGTGGACTTGGAATTCGTCCAGAATATTTATTCTAAGCGAAATTGCAATGCTTTGCGACCACTAAATAAATTTTAAATTTGCCTATTTTAAAATAGCATAAAACTACGGCTTCGTAGATAAATAAAATATTGTCTATGCCTAATATTAAATTAATGAAATACAAGATGTATGAATGTTGTTTTTATACATAATTGTGAGTAATTCAATTTCATAGCAAAAGCAGACTTCACTCGAAGTGAGAGGTGGAGTGGCACCAGTAGCCGTGGACCCTCATCACTGTCAACTGTCACAGTTGCCTCGCGTCTGCCCAATTTACTAACGGCTCTGTCATTATCACTCCCATTGTACGACCGAATCCGCCTCTACCAGTGTCATTGTGATGCCAAAGGTCTATTATGATAGTAATTTGCGGGGTTTTGTTCCTTTCACAACTGACCTTTGCTTCCATTTAATGAACATCCTTGCTGTTATTGTGTTGACCAAAATATTTACTTCTACTTAGATTTTTTTTGTTCCAAAAATTAAGTATTTTTAATTATGAAAGTTCCCGCCATGTACCAATGTGATTTTCGATTTCTCGAATTTTCATATGTATATAATTTAGCCGACGTTCTTACGGTGAAGGAAAACATCGTGAGGAAACCTGCACATATGTGCGAAGAAATTCAAAGATATATGTGAAGTCAACCAACCCGCACTGGGCCAGCGTGGTTGACTACGGCCTGGTCACCCTACCTTAGGGTAGGCTCCGAGCCCCTCAGTGAGGACGTATAGTAAGCTAGTGATGAGGATGATGATGATGATGATTTAATCTGAACTTTTGAAATGTATTATAATGAAATGCTTAGCCATTACAGTTCACAATATAAATATAACGTTATTAACTCGTTAGAGTCAAGCTCCAAAGGGTTTATTACTTACGTAGCCTAATATAAAATTTAATAAACCTTGACCTTTACATATTTTTAGAATTTTCATTATACGTTCACCGGAAACTTTTATATACGCTAGTTCTAAAGACCACTTTTTATATTATGTTTGTGAAATTTCATTAACATGACATAAGCAGATTCTTCTTCTACCAAATGAAAGTAACAAGGTAATCTTGTCTATACGGATTTTTGAAAATGATAGCTGAATTTCAGTGTTAAAGTATCAAATACAATTAAGTTGGAAACCGCACTCGCAGGCTTAAGTTGAAAGGAAAGCTTTGACCTTTGCTCAGGCTTCTGTCCCAGGGGATGCGGTTGCCTCTGAAAGCATTATTCGGTACCAACCTAAATCCAACGTCCGGTTACCTACACAACTACACTACACTGTTCCAAATTGGATCGTATACGGTTGCACTGTAACATTAACTGAAAAAGTATATCAATATGTACAACTTCTTCAGTTTGTAAGATTTTAACTGAATTTATTATTATTTATTTATTTGACTCCTTCAATTAATGTTAAGTGTGCCTATATGTAACTATTGTGTGTAAACATAGATCCACTGAATCTTAAATACATTTTCCACTCGTATTGAATATAGTTAGATATTATATTTTCTTACAAAAGAAAGTAAAATAAAACACGTCCTTTAAGATGTCCTTAAAATAAGAAAAGGTTAGATTTAAAGTATTTTCGAGGTCATTACAAAAGTAACTGTAACTTCTGAATGAACTAAAGGATGTAATACAGTAGAGTAAATAAAGTATTAATACATTTAATATCACAGTAGACATGGCGTAAAATTTGATTTGCATTTTACATGCCAGTGTGGCTTGCAGGGGTCCCACACCGCAAAGGGTCCGCGATGGCTACGCTTTTATCTTACATTACGGGGAGAAATACGTTAACCACAATACTGCTTTATTACTTATTCAAGTACTATATTATTAAAATGTTTTTAATTTAATAAGTGCTATTTTGCCGCCAAAAATGTAAGATGCTTGTAATAAAGGTACATTCTTTTGTTTTCATAAAATTTCATTTTTCATTGTTTTTGTATTGTTTCAGGACCTGTATGCGGAGGGCAGTGTTGCGGCAGAAGACGGGAGACGGAACTCAAGGTCTCTCTCAAAAGAATGATGGAGGACCGCGCTATATCTGCTACCAGACCTATTGCTGAACTGTTACTGGCTACGAGGCGGACTTTGCAAGGTAATAATTACTCTTTAGTTTAGTTATTTAAGGGAATGTTTTAATCAATTAGTTCCAATACTGTTGTTCGCGACTTAATCCACGGGAATAAAAATGTAGCCTCTGTTACTCTCTGATAACGTAGCTTTTAAAGGTGAAAGTTTTTGAGTTAATTTAATGGATGCAAAATACAAATCTTTCCTCTTTATAATATTAGTATAGATATAGATTTAATCAATCTAAGAATTACAATAGCTATAAAAAAACTACACTTGTTTAAAAATTATTCAAATAATATTGGTTTTTATTTTATTACTCACTTTATTAATTAAACATTCTACAAAGATTGGATTCAGCATAGTTTAGAAAGATTTATATTACAGTTAGCACTCTCTTTGTGAACTTTGATATAAAAGTAATTTATTCAAGGGTTGAAATTTAAATTCGTATTTTGTTTTCACGAAATCTCTTAAAGCAAAGTCGAGGAGAGCCTTGTTAAAACTATTACAAGTGGCCGCGTCTCTGCCGACTCGAAATATGGAGCGGAGTTTGCTGCCAGGAATTATAGATATTATGTTACGCAACTATTCGTACTATCCGGTGATATTTTCTCAAAGTTAATACATTTTTCACCATATTTTCTGTTTAAAAATAAATCTGAATACGATGTATTTGATTTATTTGCACTTTTATGGAACTATACAATACATTCCAAATAGACATTGTTCATATCCTATAAACCTTTTTAACAGCTCATATAAATTTTACAACCTTTTGGTTTATACTTTGTAGTTAAAAAGATTACAATGCGGCTTACAAAGTAAGTAAAACGTTTTCAAATATTTTTCTATCACCCCAAAATTCATATTTGAAATCTTATTTTAGCACATATCTTAATCAAGTGGGTCGTACTTTTACTGTAAAGGAGCACCTAGGAGCCCATAAACACACTTACTGTCTGATTTACTACTGTCAGAAAAAAAGCATTACAATATTTGTTTTGTTTTATGATGCAACTTAAGTTAATAGTCTTACAAAAAAAGTTAGTAAAAAGGTCTACTGTAACTACATTTTAACAATTTAATTATTCCGTTAGCTTTCTTGTTATCTAAATAATTTCATAAAATATGCACAAATAATATCGACGTAAATGTGAATAGCGTGCGGATTCAGTTTATCCGTTTGGTCCGGTCTGAGTGTGGAATGCGAGCCTTGATATGAGGGGTTGATGCGGTAATTACTAAGCCAAACACTTCACTGTTTATGTGCGGACAATGTAAATAGTTGCAATGCTATTTGCGGACCGTGGCCACAATTCTCTCCGAAGCGGCGCTTGTATGCTGTGTGTTTATTTAACAAGTGTACATACGTGTTGAATTTTGCCTATTTATATTCTATCTTAATAAAACAGCGTTATCTTAGAGGCTATTACTATAATTAATCAAAGAAGCTACCTTTAACAAAAATTATCTACCCTACTTACCTGTAATGCTACAGAAATTGGAATTCTATTCCATCGACATAAAGGCGACAGTTACACGACTTTACAGGTTTCGTAGAGTCATATAGGTCATAATCTGATATTCATTACATTGCGACGAGTCAGTTCCATTACGAGATTAAATGGCGAAAACGAAATTATGAAAAGTGAGTGCCGCCCGGCCTACGAGGTGGAATGTTAACAAATTTCTTTCCCTCATAATTCTAAATGTAGGTGAGAAAATGAAATGAATCTTTTCATAATAAAAGATTTTTTTTATTATTTACCGTTCTTTACAAACTTTTAATAAAATCCGGCGACGACGATGAGATTCCTTTAGCAATTCGGACTAATAAGGGGAGATAGTAATAATAGCAGAAGTATTTAGAAATCTATACAAGGTTATATTATTGTCCAAATGTAAATATATCTTTTATTCGATGTACTAAAAGCAAACAATGTTTTGACTACTACCAACCATAAATCACTGGCAGCCCAAAAAACTTAAAAGATAAACAAATCGCAGCAGTCAACGCGCAACATAAATGATTCAATCATGGCGTTTTAAAAAGAGGTTCGTTTGTTGATCATAGATAAAGATTTATTTATACCAAATGTAACGGATCAAAGCGTACCCTGGAGGCAGCCCTGCCGCGACACGTAGCGGCCGCCGCGTACAACAATAAATATTTTCGGCCCCGGGCTACACTCATCAGTGAACAGTTGTTTAACAAACACTCCCGGAGCGCCGACAAATTGGACACTCTGCAAATATGGCTGCAGCGAGCTCGTGCCCGTGTCCTATAAACAATAGACACGCGATGATGGAGCACGATATGGGAGATTATTGTTAGCGACGCACCTAACTTCATACACAGGGTGTTCTGAATTTAATTGATTGAAACAATTAATATACTGAGAAATTGATTTATCAGGTACATGATAAACTAACTAGATAAAATAAATAATAGTATCTGTATCTCGAAATAATAAAGTAACGAAAATATGAAATAACTAGCTTTTAATAACGAATTCTAACATAAATTAGGTTTGTTTATTGGGATTTTATGCTTATATCGTAAAGATTAATGATAGACACAAACGACGTCTCATAGTCCTTATAATCATATCAAAATGATGGTCATTATTGTTTTACCGTAAAATGTCTAGACACACGCAAAACCCGTTCTCATTGTTTCTTCCTTCTTATTGCGGACTAGAAACGAAATGTCATTATCTATGTTACCATTGCATAAACGAATGTAAATAGAAGGAAATGCATGCTCGATACTAAGTAAAAATCGTAGTGTTATTGTTAGCCGACCGGATTTGTATCCAGTTTAGAGATAGACCACCCAAAGTCACGGCTATAGTGGCTGCATTTCCATTATCGTGCACTTAATTAAAAATCCAAAATAATGTTGCATAAATCACTGGAAGACTTACCTTTTTCAAACATTGAAGTGTGAACATATAAAAAAGGGTGATGAGTGTATTTGCTTACACAAGTGGAGACTAAAATATAACATTAGCGAGTGCAACGACCTCTTTTATAAAAAGGGTAGACAGAACAAAGCGGACCCACTCTTCGCCCTCGGTTACACGCGGAAAGGAAATAATCTGAGAGTGCTAGACTCAGTCCCCTTTCACTATATTGTACCCCAGTTAGGTTCGGGACCTCCCTCGTGGACCCTCATTAGGGCACTAAAATAATTTTACCTTTGTACCCTGAGAATACCGTATACTGACGACGTGACCCGCATCATAATTCTGTAATTCGATACTAAAGAACTTGGAAGCAATGTAACCTTCAAATGTTTTCTCACCATCTTTGAAGTTTTCGAAAGTTTATAAGTGGTTTGTATTGTTTTTGTATCACATTTACCGTTAAAAGGAAAAGTTATCGAATATTCTTTGCCATTTATTGTCCCTTACTAAATATTAAAAGCAACAAAGAAATAAAAATGAAAATGTAAAATCACTTATTCCAAATGGAAAACAAAAATGGAAAAGCTAAACGACAAAAATAGAAATTTTAACAGAAGTTTTGAACAGAGCTTTTTGCATTTGCGATAATGGACCGACACTGGAGCACTAAAATATTTACGTTTACTCGGATTTTGATTTTTCAAAAGGTTACACGCAGAGTTATACATTCCCAGTTTTTATTTAGTTATATTTAAAGTATAACATAATATTTTATTTAAGAATATTTCCACCGGTAGTGTGATAAATTATTTTAATAATTAAATTACCTGCTCATACTATTAGACAGAGTGTCACATCTGTAACAATTTATAATCTTTGACAAATAGTAAACATAGAATTCATAAGTATCAAATAACGATAAGATATTTTAAACTATAGAAGCTATTATTCAGTCGATTCAAAAGCTTCCTATTTCCATTTATTTGTGGTTAGCAGAAGACATTTAAATTGAAATATCGACCGCATTCGTAACTTTGTTTGTTAATGGAGACCGCGAACAAAGCCATGAAACAGTCATTTACAACATTTTCTTGCGAAACATTTCCTTTCATCAACATTTATAAAGTTACTTGATGAACGACAGTTGTGTTTCAACTTAGAACTTCGTATTTCTTTTAGTTTTAATCAATATTACGATGGTTCACGTTTTCCGACTTTTATGTTATTTTAGTTTGTAACTATTTTAAACGCGTCAAAGATTCCCCTTTGAATCAATACACATAAAATTCTTGTAGAACTCACGTATTAGTACATTTTTTTTAAGTTCAAATGGATATTTATTGTTACACTTTGAATTGATTTAACATATTCTACGTGACATATATCTTTGCTACGCATTGAATATACATATTACAAAATCCTTTCACAAAAATTGGTAAACATTCGGTCCAGCGGTACACGTGCTAGCTTCATATAAAACACCTTATAAATGTGTAATTTTCTCTTTTGAAACGGCGATTATCTCAATATTTGTATTCGTGGCAAAGTTCTCAACGGTGGGTCGACATTACGTGACCGGCTTTTTAGATTTTGTTTCCAGTGTACACACTTTTTCACAAGATTTTCATTCGCAACGTTTTCTTTGCTTTTATTTAATAGGGTGCGCAAGTCTGTTCTGATTTTAAAATACCTTTCAACGCTAAGGTCCCAATATAAATCGAATAGGGATGATGTCACAGGAATTTTTAGGGTAACATTTTATGTCATTTTCAGTTTTATATAGCCATACTGTATATCGCTGTATCTAGCCTTTTGTAGTTACATAGAAGTAAGTTATTGCGCAAGGACATATCCTTGCGCAATTATACATATATAATAATACTGTCTAATTAATTCAATTTAGTTAGAAAAGAGAAGACGATTCTACAAAGTAATAAAAAGCAGTTATAAAATAAAATATACAAATCGCGAACAAAGTAAAGCAGTCTGTAATTAACTTTGAAGACAAGTGCGGGACTTGTTTTGACTTGTATCTGACAGTGACAGATTCTGCAGACAGCCTCCAGGGTGATAACATTCTCTGACTGAGACAGTCACATACAGAAGATAACTTGACGTTACTATAAGTGTACAACAAATGTTGTTAAGTTAGAGAAAATATGATAAAAAGAAATTTAAAATTGATATATAAAAAGAATAAGACTTAATTTTCCATGTTTTGTAAAACAAATTGGTAAAGCCTTTTTTTTCTCTATCAGTTTTAAAATTGTATTGAGAGATGATTGTTTTTCGTACAATTCTAGGTATTATTGTATCCGATTTCGCCGGTCTAGTGAAACCTAATTTCCTCTTTTGTGCGCGACGTGCCACGTCTAGTAAGTTTCTCCCCTCGGACTATACGAAGGTCGTCTGGAGGTCTCGGCCGGCGCTGAAGACACGAATGACATTTATTTATCGAACTAGCCTCAAGCGCCGAATGTCGTGGATTTATTTTTGAAATAGCAAAAAGCGCCCTACGACATTAATCTTGTCATATCATAAAATAAGAAGGAGTTCGTGTTATGTTATTTAATGTGTTATGCAAAGTTAGTTGAATATTTGATATTCGATTTAGAAATTTTATTTAGTTCTATTCTATTTAGAATACTGAATACACCTCATATGTTTAAAATGTTATTTATAATTTATTTGTGGTATTACTAAAGTATTTATTTATTTTATTCAGGTTATTTTGATTTTATTACAATAATGTTAACTTAATAATTAAAAATGTAGAAATTTCATATTTTTATTCTTTGATTGATTGAACCAATAATGTACAAAATGTATTTAAGTCAATATACTTCATCGTTAACCTAATAATAGTACAATATGCTTTATTGAAGGTCAAGTGCTAATCGAAAATCGATATTGCGAGATCGATGGCGAAAGTCGGCAAACTAAAGTGAGGTGCTTTAGACCTGTGGTACTTTGCACTTAAAGTTAGCTAAGGAATGACGGCTAAGTTATTACTCTTTGAGAACAAGTCTTCGGTAATTAAATGTTCTAACTTAACTTGTATTTCAATAGCTTCCGACTATTACAAAACATCTTGATGTAGTCAATAAATTCAATCAATTTGAAATCGATTCATAGTGAAAATATTACAGCTGTTACCAATTTTTGTACAGATTCGTATTTTAAATGCAGTAAAATGTAAAATAAATTTAATGTTAAGTTAATAATACTTGCATGTGAAACATGAATGCGAATTTTAAGGCGTACGTTGAATAAGTATACTCGTTGGTAAGGAAAGCGAGAGACGTGAGCCGTCGAGTTTTATAATATTTAAGGCTGAATGGAATGAACACTCGTACTTACAGCCGGGCTTTGCGTTAAGCCTCTGAATACCCGTCAACATTCAACTCACTGAAAAGCATCTCAAGACTCCTACATCAAACGGCCGCTCACCACGCTTATAAATATTTAGACGCTTCTAATGTTTTATAAAACATATAATATGCTCAAAGATTATACAGATAACGTGTTTTTTTAATTAAATACAAGACGTTGCTCGCCGTTGTAAACGTAGCGATGGATGTAATAACACGGTTTTAACACCCTCGGTATTTGATGACCGCGTAATGTGTCTTGTTTACTATAATTCTATGTTCTCGGTAATAAACATTTTTATTCCACCTTTGTTTATAACAGATAATTTTTCACATTTATACTCACAGACAGACATTGTATACTCACTTAAAATCTAATCGTCGTATACAAGTGATATTAAGTTGTACATATTATCTGAACTTCGGATAGTAAATGGTTATAAGATTTTTTATAACCTCGCTGAGTAACAATGCAAAACACTTTCGTATTTACTTTTGTGGTACAATTGAGCATTCCTAACATGGCTGCGTGGGTGACATAAATGTGGTCTTTAAGATAAAACAGCCGCTCGGTAATCGGATCACTTTTACATTTTCGAAATAAATTTATTTTTCCCGGACATTGGAATGCCGCGCGGCGTTAATCCCCCCCTTCTTCCTGCACAGCGATAACACGGAGAATGCGGGATAGCTAGATGTGGATTCAAATCAGATAAAAGCTACGTTTATACTAACACATATGGCTTTGTTAATATTAGAATATAATTCATTCCACAAACATATCGCTTCATTTTGATTTAGAAGCAAATTTGTGAGAAATTTATAACAAACTATCTATCTCGAATGGATTAAACGATAGACGAAGCTATTAAACATCAATTACGATGTGTCGACATTTTAAGTATGTTATAACATCCTAACGTTGTTCTATTTTAAATTTTATTGCTTCAATGAAAGACTTTCAAATCTATTAATATGTGAATTGTGATAAAAGTTACATTACAAAATAGGCTGATCGAATTTTTTTTTACAACTATAAAGCGATGATAACGCAATTAATATTGTCTTTTTCAGTGATTTTGACGTTTGATATAGATAATTATTTAATGTCTATTGTCCACAGAACATCTAACAGCACTCTCACATCAGTCACAAAACAAGACGTCCGTGCTCTTCCTACAACTGTACAGAGTGCACGCATCCCGAGCGAGAGGTCCTCTATCCGCACTATATGACGACATTCG